TGAGCTGCTGTGGGCTCCGTCCCGTTGCCAAGTGAACTTCCCTGAAGTCCTGTTTATATGGGTGTAGTTAGAACTGCTTTGGCGATGGTGGCCCGCCTCTGTTGATGCGGAGTCTCTCTGCTGTGGCGGGTTGCCTTGGCAATGGCGGGCTGCCTCAGCAATGGCGCGTTGCCTTGGCAACGGCGGGCTGCCTCAGCATTGGCCGACTACCTGTGTCATGGCAGGCTGCCTCGGTAATGGCGGACGCCCCTCCCCCACAGAGCTGGACCGTCCGGGATTCAGCTGCACTTGCTGTGAAACTCTCAATCCAGAGTTCCTGATTGCTGTTCTTTTGTGGGGGTGGGACCAGCCGAGCCTGATCGCCTGGCTCCCTGCCTCAGAGCCTTTTTTAAGTTGGTGTTCCAGTCGCCTGTTGAAGAGGCGCCGGGGTCTGTTTGTTTTCCCCTGTGGCCACTCACTGCGCTGGCTTAAACAGCGGCGCTGAGGTTTGTGGAGCTTTTTTTTTATTTTTTATTTTGCCCTGGAATCTACTGTCCTGGTTCTCTGCTCAGTCCCCTTTTTAAACAGACGAATGGGCAACTTCCCATGGCTCCAATCGCCAGCCAAAAGGGCACCCGGACTGGTGTATTTTGTGCGGAGAACCTCTGCTCTGGGGTGCCGACAAAGCAGCTGCGTGGGGTAAAGCAGCGGCGCCGGCCGGCACAGCTGCGCTGGCCGAAACAGCCGTGCTGGCGACTTGTGGAGCTCCTCTGCCTGGGAATTTCGTAGTCTGTGGGCAATAAAAATGCGGTGTCCACTCACCCTCTGTGCTTTCACTGGGAGCTGCAATCCTCACCTGTTCCTAAACGGCCATCTTGGATCCTCCCCCGCCAAAAAACTGAATCTTTATATACATAAAGTAGAATGAAAAATGGTCCATTGCACTCAAATTAACTGCATGGCAAAAAATTGTGTTTAGCAGCATAATGAAATATTTTCCCACTTTTAAATAATTTTAAAAAATAGATATTTAGCTTTCCCAATAAAAAGCTAATTTGAAAAATAATCTCCTTATACGAGTCTATAGCAGATGACTTCTCATTTCTGTGATTCTTTTGAGGACAACCTGAATTCTTTCCAATATCTAAGTCCTTGAGCTAGAATTTTAAAACAATTTTAAGCATTGTGACATCTCTCCAGCCTCCGTTCTTCACAATAGCCTCCTTGAGAATAATGCTGATAACCACCACTTTCTGATACATTGCAATTTAAAATCTTTATCTCTTTCGCTTTTACTGTAACAAAGTCAACATGACTTTGACTAAACAACATCATGAAAGCTTGCTTTCTGAACAAAGTAATTCATTGCATCTAAAGGCAAAAGGCAAAATGCAAACCGAAATTGGTAGTTAGGCATAAAATGGACTTTTAAAGAACAATGCTAGCTCAGTGCCTGTAATCCCAGCACATTGGGAGGCCAAGTCGGGCGGATCACCTGAGCTCAGTTCAAAAGACCAGCCTGTCCAAGATGGCGAAACACCATCTCTACTAAAAATACAAAAATTCACCAGTTGTGGTGGCGGGTGCCTGTAATCCCAGCTACTCAGGAGGCTGAGACAGGAAAATTGCTTGAACCTGGGAGGCAGAGGCTGCAGTGAGCCGAGATGGCACCACTGCACTCCAGCCTGGGCAACAGAGCAAGACTCCGTCTCAAAAAAACAAAAACAAAACAAACAAACAAACAAAACACAATGCTGTGCTGTTTCCCAGTACCTACTCCACTTCACTAAACTTGGAATCCAAGGTTCACTACTTCTCTAAGTATTATACTGGAGTGTGGAAATTTTATTGAAAAAATGTGTAGCTACCAGACCGATCCAGGCCAGAAACACAGAAATAATTTTTTAATTTAACCATGTGCATTCATTTTAGGCAGAGTACATGGACAAACATAGGTTTGCACACACACATACACATGGTACAGTAAGAGGATCTCATAAAAATTCAACGCTGGAAATAGTTGTTTCCAAGCTGGAGAGCACTATGCCAAGCAAACAGGGATGTCTGAAACCTCTGAACACTGATTTTAAACCAATTGACTTTTTTTTTTTTTTTTTTTTTTTTGAGATGGAGTCTCACTCTCACCCAGGCTGGAGTGCAATGGTGCGATCTCTGCTCACTGCAACCTCTACCTCAGGGGTTCAAGCGATTCTCCTGCCTTAGCTTCCCAAGTAGCTGGGATTACAGGCATGCATCACCACTCCCAGCTAATTTTTGTATTTTTAGTAGAGGCGGGGTTTCACCACGTTGGCCAGACTGGTCTTGAACTCCTGACCTCAGGTGATCAGCCTGCCTCAGCCTCCCAAAGTGCTAGTATTACAGGCGTGAGCCACTGTGCCCATCTCCCACAGCAATCTTGTGTTAAAAGAAAGACTTTGGCTGAATTAAATTTAAAGGAGTTTAATTGAGCAATGAATGATTCACGAATCAGGCAGCCCCCAGAATCACGGCAGATTCAGAGAGACTCCAGTGCAGCCACATGGTGGAAAAAGATTTAAAGACAAAAAAATGGGAAGCGTCATACAGAAATTGGAAGTGAAGTGCAGAAACAACTGGATTGGTTACAGCTCTGTGTTTACCTTAATTGAACACAGTTTGAACACTTAGCAGTCTATGAGTGGTTGAAGTATGGCTGCTGGGATTGGCCAAGACTCAGCTATTGTTACAGAGCATACTCCTAAGTTTGGTTTTCAGTCTTGTCTAACTGTTATGTTAGGTTACAGTTTGTCCACAAGGACTCAAATATAGAGGTACGGAGTCCTTCTCAGGCCATATTTAATTCGCTTCAACACTTACAATGCAGGTACTATTATTTTCTAAATATCACACTTGAAACCGAGGGTCCTCAGTCAACTTAAACAGCTAGTAAGTGGTTGTGCTGAGATTTGAATCCAGGCATAGGTTGGCCCTAGTGTAAGGCCGGCTGCCTCACAGAGGGGTAAACGGACACATCCATCTCTCTCCGCGTCTGATAACCACATCATCGCCCAAGTTTGTTATCTGGCCTTGCCGCACGGCTTCTCCGCACCCGCCTCCGCATACCAGACCTAAGCCCACATTCAGCACTGAATTATGCATTTAACCCCCAGTCCGCTGTTAATAAACCCTGCAGGAAAATTTTTTAAAGAAGCCCCATCAGACCCTGCCCTGTAGCAGTCTGCTCTGTATGCCCCAGGAAGGCCCGCTTACCTAAGGTCCCACCCGCCTACCCATGACCACTAGCTCCAGGCATTTCCTGCTTCTTAATAGCCAATAAGATTGCCTTCACTTTGTTTCCCCAACAGTGAATCAAGGCCCAAGGTCCTACCCATAACCACTAGCTCCAGGCATTTCCTGCTTCTTAATAGCCAATAGGATTGCCTTCACTTTGTTTCCCCAACAGCCAATCAAGACCCACTTACCCAAAGTTCCGCCTGCCTACCAATAGCAACTAGTTTCAGGCACTTCCTGCTTCCTAACAGCCAATAAAATTGCCTTTGCTTTGTTTCCCCAGTAGCCAATCAATTGCCTTCCCTTCCCATAAAACCCCATGACCTAAACAGCCTGGCACGACTTCTTTGGCCCCTTCCTGGACCACGAAACCTCACCCGGGAGCTGAATAAATTGGCTTCTCATTTTCTCATACTTGCCTCAGTTTCCTCATTTTACATCGGCAATAAACCTTACACCTAGTACCAATTATTTTAACCAGCTACAGTGCACTATTGCCTCTCCATTTGTGAAAAGGAAATAAAGACAGAAACTCATTTTTATGCAGAAATAGAGATAGAATTTTAAAAATACCCCCCAGAAAATCTTACACAACACTTTCTGCTAATAGCCGTCATTCTCTTTCCTTCTTCCTCTCTCTCCTTCCCTTTTCCCTCTCCAGTCCATCAAATCCTTGCTATGGAATATCACGCACTCCTAAATCCAACTACTCCTTTGATATTCTTGGACCACAACCTTAAAATAAATGGCCACCCTAGGAGAGCTGGGGTTAAAACCACAGAGAAGAGTCTTCTTGGTATGCTATAGAGTGGCTGCAGTCCTAGGAGGCTTTCTGGAAAATGGAGGTGATTGGTTACAATAAGTTTTTCTGAAAACAAAATGCCATGGTTGTCAGGTTACCGATAAGGGGACTATTAGGGAAATTGGGTCCCAAATGTATTCTGAAGTGGAAAGAGTAGGGAGTAAGGGTGCAGGATGTGAAAGGAAGGTGTGTTTTCCTGTATGCTGGATATAATGGCCTAATTATTTCTACTACATGCAAAATACATCACTGTTTCTTGGGATCCTCAAAACACTCAGGCGCTGGGCACAGAAGACGGCCGTCCCCTTTAGAGTGATAATTGGAAATGATAGGTAATTCATAGAAAAAAAGTACAGAAGGTTACAGGGAACAGGATGGCAAAGGGACAGGTTGGAGAATCTGTTTTTTAAAAGAATACTCTGGTTGGTGGTCAAGGGCTGGAAGTGGAGAAGAGTGGAGGGGTTGAAGAGGATTAGCTTCACTGTGAAAAGAGCTTTATAGGTTATTTCTAGTATAGTACACTCCTGTGGGAATAAATATCCATCTGAATTTTTGTGAAATTCTAAAAATAGTTTCTAACATTCACTTGGTAAAGAATTCAGTGACTTTCCAAGTGAATAAGTATATTGATCAATAGATTCCCAATCCATTTTTACCTAAATGGCAGCACACTGTACACACTATTCTGTACCTTGCTCTTTTGAATTAGACAACCAGAAAAAAAAAAAAAAACCTGTTTATTAAAATGGGTGGTGATGAAAAGAATTATTCTTTGTCCATGAGATTGAATATAATGGAGATATTAGAAATGGTGATGCAAGCATATATTGACATTAAAATTACATTCATTTTCTAAGGTCAAATGAGAAAAGCAGCTTTTGAAATAGAGATGTGTGTGTGTCGCCTGTAATTCCAGCACTTTGGGAGGCCGAGGTGGGTGGATCACGAGGTCAAGAGATCGAGACCATCCTGGTCAACATGGTGAAACCCCGTCTCTACTAAAAATACAAAAAATTAGCTGGGCATGGTGGCGCGTGCCTGTAATCCCAGCTACCCAGGAGGCTGAGGCAGGAGAATTGCCAGGAGGCTGAGGTTGCTGTGAGCCGAGATTGCGCCATTGCACTCCAGCCTGGGTAACAAGAGCAAAAGTCTGTCTCAAAAAAAAAAAAAAAAAAAAAAAAAAAAGAGATGTGTGTGTGTGTTCATGCGAACGCAGAGTTAGAAGTTTAGAAGGATATATAAACACACAAAAATGGTTGACGGAACATCTCTGAATGATGGCGTTACAGATGATATGTTGCTCTATTTTATGTGCATTTAGTAATGTTTGGGATTTGCTACCATTTGAATTGATTACATATTTAATTTTTTAATTATATAATACTTTCACAGAATGTTTTGTAATCAACAAATAACCAAAGGTATAGATTAAAAAGTCCCCATCCTGACCCAGATCCCTAACTCCCTAGTTCCTATTCCTGGATTAGAAAATTCAACATTCAAATGAATAAAACAAGTTTCTCATGCCTGGAAGTCTTATTGCAGAGAAAGCATTCTAACCGAAATGTCTTTTGATGTCAGAGGGCTAATTTCCTGGAACCCCTAGAGATAGAAACCTTCTGACATCAGGAAACACAGACATGCTGAAGAGAAGTTAACCAAGACACGGGCTTCCCAAAGAAACTATCCAGAATATAGTGTGTATAGAGAGAGGCAGGAATGCCATATTAGCAAATAGGCTCAATATATTATTGTCAGAGCTACGAGAGAAATCTGTTCTTTGTGTGAACCAAGCTCTCTCTGACATGTTCAGGGCCTCAGATATAGTGTTCCCACTAACTGGAAAACTTGCCCGCCCCTTTCCACCTAGCTTTCTTTTTACTATCCCTTCAAGTCTCAGCTAAAAAATCTCTTGCTCTAAGAGGCCATCCTAAACTAGCAGGGATTTTCATCCTTTGCTATCTCAGAGCACTCTGAATTTTGTGTATCTCAGAGAGCACATATACCCTTTGCTGTAGCTTCTTTTTTCTTTTCTGTCTCTTAGAAAACAGCACAAACCCAGCATGGACCTTGTTCATTTTTGCATCTTAGAATCTAACATGATGCCTAGCCAGCAGGTTTGGGAAAATCTATCTCATTTGGGTCCCAAAGACCAATATGAAAACTTTGTTCCCATCATTTCCTTATCATCCAATGTAGGTTAAAGCTGTTTGAAAGTCACAAATAAAGGAGTTGACTTTTTAGTGGATGGAAAATGGTGAAAGTTTATTACTAATATCTTCAGTGGACCAAGATGTTACTCAGGCTTTAAGAATGTAATTAGAAATAGAATTTGAGGGCAGGAGGTTTTTGGAAATGGTTTTCTTACTCCTAAAAAGAGACACACAGGAGAAAGCAGCCTTCTCTTTCTTTTCTTTTTTTTAATTAAGAAAACGCATTGGTTTTTCTATTACTCAAGGTTTAATCAAGTAAACAAAACCAGCAGGAGATATACAGATACACACACATACACATTCAAGGGACTGGCTTACATAATTGTGGGGGCTGGCTATATAAGTCTGAAATCCATAGAGCAGTTGGTCAGGAAGTAAAGATCACAAGTAGGCTGGAACCTCCTCAGGTATGAGATGGAGCTGGTTTCTATGGGTACAAGTGTCTCGTTTCCCAAGGAAGGCCTAAGCCACCTGTTAAGGCTGTCCAACTGATTAAGTCAGGCCCACACAAGACAATTCCTCTAACTCAAAGCCAACTGATTAGGGTATTCTATCTAGCACATACGGAAAATCCCTTTGCAGCAGAACCTATATTCGTGTTTAAGTAACTGGGAGAAGTGTGTAGGCCATAGAATGGCTGCTACTTCTCTTCCATCTTCTAACTCACTCAAGAGATTATCTCTAGTAGCCCACTTATCCAGAAACATAATAGAAAGTTAATTCTGGGGAATATAATTTCGCCTACCCAAGTTGACACACCACAGAGTTATATCCTCCGTAGAATGCACCATCCAGAACTTTTCCCAGACGTTGATGAAAGGTAGACTTGTTTTGGGAGATGAGCAAAGGAATTATGAAAGTTTATTTCTTCTTTGTTTTAGGCCGCCTTCTTTTTCTACTGGATGAAGTTGTGCCTAGAATTGGTGCCTGGAAATCTTATTGCAGAGAAAGCATTCTTTAAAAATATATATATATACATTTAAAAATGCAGGATTGTTGCATAGGTACCTACACAGCAATGTAGTTTGCTGCCTCCATCCCCCGTCACCTATATCTGGCATTTCTACCCATGTTATTCCTCCCCAACCTCCCTACCCCCCGCTGTCCCTCTCCTATTCCCCCAGAACAGACTCCAGTGTGTGATGCTCCCCTCCCTGTGTCCACAATTCTCATTGTTCAACACCCACATATGAGTGAGAACATGCGATGTTCGATTTTCTGTTCTTGTGTCAGTTTGCTGAGAATGATGGTTTCCAGATTCATTTATGTCCCTACAAAGGACACGAACTTGTCATTTTTTATGGCTGCATTGTATTCCATGGTGTACACGTGCCACATTTTCCTTGTCCAGTCTATCATTGATGGGCATTTGGGTTGGTACCAGGTCTTTGCTATTGTGAACAGTGCCGCAATGAACATATTTATGCACATGTTTTTGTAATCCTTTGGATATATACCCAGTAATGGGATTGCTGGGTCAAATGGAATTTCTATTTTTAGGTCCTTGAGGAATCACCACACTGTCTTCCACAATGATTGAACTAATTTACACTTCCACCAACAGTGTAAAAGTGTTCCTATTTCTTCACATCCTCTCCAGCATCTGTTGTCTCCAGATTTTTTAATGATCGCCATTCTAACTGGCGTGAGATGGTATCTCAATGTTGTTTTGATTTGCATTTCTCTTATGACCAGTGATGATGAGCATTTTTTCATATGTTTCTTGGCCTCATAAATGTCTTCTTTTGAAAAGTGTCTATCCATATCCTTTGCCCACTTTTGAAATGGGTTTGTTTCTTTTTTTTCTTGTAAATCTTTTTTAGTTCTTTGTAGATTCTGGATATTAGCCCTTTGTCAAATGGGTAGATTGCAAAAATTATTTTCCATTCTGTTGGTTACCAGTTCACTCTAATGACTATTTCTTTTGCTGTACAGGAGCTCTGGAGTTTAATTAGATACCATTTGTCTATTTTGGCTTTTGTTGCCAATGCTTTTGGTGTTTTAGTCATGAAGTCCTTGCCAATGCCTATGTTGAATGGCTTTGCCTAGGTTTTCTTCTAGGGTTTTTATGGTGTTAGGTCTTATGTTTAAGTCTTTAATCCATCTGGAGTTACTTTTGGTGTAAGGTGTCAGGAAGAGGTCCAGATTCTGTTTTCTGCACATGGCTAGCCAGTTTTCCCAACACCATTTATTAAACAGGGAATCCTTTCCCCCATTGCCTGTTTTTCTCGGGTTTGTCAAAGATCAGATGGTTTTAGATGTGTGGTGTTGCCTCTGAGACCTCTGTTCTGTTCCATTGTTCTATATCTCTGTTTTGGTACCAGTACCATGCTGTTTTGATTACTGTAGCCTTGTAATACAGTTTGAAGTCAGGTAGCATGATGCCTCCAGCTTTCTTCTTTTTGCTTAGAATTGTCTTGGCTATGTGGGCTCTCTTTTGGTTCCATATGAAGTTTAAGGTGGTTTTTTCCAGTTCTGTGAAGAGGGTCATAGGTAGCTTGATGGGGATAGCATTGAATCTGTAAATTACTTTGGGCAGTATGGATTTTTTCACAATATTGATTCTTCCTAACCGTGAGCATAGAATGTTTTTCTATCTGTTTGTGTCCCCTCTTGTTTCATTGAGCAGTGGTTTTTAGTTCTCCTTGAAGAGGTCCTTTACATCCTTTGTTAGTTGTATTCCTAGGTATTTTATTCTCTTTGTAGCAATTGGGAATGGCAGTTCCCTCTTGATTGGGCTCTCTTTAAGTCTGTTATTGGTGTATAGGAATGCCTGTGATTTCTGCATGTTGATTTTGTATCCTGAGACTTTGCTGAAGTTGCTTATGAGTTGAAGGAGATTTTAGGCTGAGGTGATGGGGTCTTCTAAATATACAATCACGCCATCTGCAAATAGAGACAATTTGACTTCCTCCTTTCCTAATTGAATACCCTTTATTTCTTTTTCTTGACTGATTGCTGTGGCTAGAACTTCCAATACTATATTGAATAGGAGTGGTGAAAGAGGGCATCCTTGTTGAGTGCCACATTTCAAAGGGAATGTTTCCTGTTTTTTCCATTCAGTATGATATTGGGTGTGGGTTTGTCGTAAATAGCTTTTACTATTTTGAGTTATGTTCCGTCGATACCTAGTTTATTGAGAGTTTTTAGCATAAAGGTTGTTGAATTTTGTCAAAGGCCTTCTCTGCATCTATTGAGATAATCGTGGTTTTTGTCTTTGGTTCTGTTTATGTGGTGGATTACGTTTATAGACTTGTGCATGTTCAACCAAACTTGCATCCCCGGGATGAAGCCTACTTGATCGTGCTGGATAACCTTTTTGATGTGCTGTTGCAATCAGTTTGCCAGTATTTTATTGAACATATTTGCATCTATGTTCATCATGGATATTGGCCTGAAGTTTTATTTTTTTGTTGAGTCTCTGCTGGGTTTTGGTATCAGGATGATGTTGGTCTCATAAAATGATTTGGGAAGGATTCCCTCTTTTTGGATTGTTTAGAATAGTTTCACAAGGTGTGGTACCAGCTCCTCTTTGTATGTCTGGTGGAATTCGGCTGTGAGCTCATCTGTACCTGGGCTTTTTTGGGTTGGTAGGCTATTAATTGCTGCTTCAACTTCAGCCCTTGTTATTGGTCTATTCAAGGTTTCAACTTCTTCCTGGTTTAGGCTTGGGAGGTTGCAAGTGTCCAGGAATTTATCCATTTCTTCCAGGTTTACTGGTTTATGTGCATAGAATTGTTTGTAGTAATCTCTGATGGTAGTTTGTATTTCTGTGGAATTGGTGGT